AGTCTTCAGGATCCACCTAACAAGAAGCCTAAAGTCTAGACATAGCCATTTTACCCGTGATTATTTTGGTTCTTCAGGGTGGCCAGTGTCTGTGTGACATTAAATGGTAAATGACTACATGTTTTTAAGGAAACAAAAATATTTTTTTAATCATCAAATTTATACTAGCTGTATGGGTGTTAGCATATCAAGTAATTATGAATCTAGAGTAATTTTTACATATTTTTATATTATTGTCCTCTCAGTTGTTGAATGGATGGAAAGCAATCATGTTGGTTTAAATGTTGTCAGTTTTTATAAAATAAAAATGAAACTTGGAACACTTTTTAGCATTACAAATTGTCCACAGACTGTAATCAGAATGAGAGAAAGGTAGTCTCCTTTTCCTGTGTGTTGATTTGTGTGCTCATTATTAAATGGGATTTTGAAGCCATGAAATCACTGTGCTAGTATATATGGACTAGTTAAAGTTCTGTGGCTTTTTGTTTTAATGAGATATGTCATTAGTGGTTTTAAATGTTTTTTGGTTTTTCCCAAAAGACCACTGTGCATTTCCTTCCACCTTGAATTTTTTTTTTTTTTTTAATTTAACCTGAGAAGAAACTTGGTAGTATGGTGTATTTGGTTCTTTGTTTCTTAGCTTTTGCCACTGATGGTTATTTTTACAGCCTATGAGTCAAAAAATTGTTTCCTTTATTTTGACTTTTTATTTCTATTACATTCTAATTTTTTTTCTTTTAAGCAAGAACTAATAAAATCTCCTGTGTAAACTAAAAGATTTTCCAAGCTACATCTATCTTCTTTATGTTAGTTCTGAACTGTTTATTTGGAGTGGATGTGAGAAGGGTATATGCCAAATGGTATGCACGGTTTACACACTGTATATACACATTATACACAGACCATGTGTGAGTTGTCAGAAGACAACTAGCAGTGGTCAGTTCTCTCCTTCCATGTGCGTCCTGGCTTTGAACTCAGGTTTGACAGCAAGCGTCTTCACTCAGCCAGCTCAGCATTTTTAAAAATATTACATGTATTGGTCTTATTTTCTTTGTGTGTGTGTGTGTGTGTGTGTGTGTGTGTGTGTTATAAGACACTCTGGGGGGCTGGAGAGATGGCTCAGTGGTTAAGAGCACTGTCTGCTCTTCCAAAGGTCATAAGTTCAATTCCCAGCAACCATGTGGTGGCTCACAACCATCTGTAATGTGAACTGATTCTTCTGGCAGGTGTAAACGCAGATAGAACACTCATATGCATTAAATAAATAAATAAAAAGTGACTTTCTTGTTAAAAACAAAAAAAGACACTCTGGGGTGACTGTTCCAACATTCCATAGCGTGAGTTCTGGGGGCTGGACCGCGGTCAGGGTCAGTGGTAGGCACCTTCCCTCCCTGAGCCATCTTGCTTGCCCAGCAAACAGCCAAAGAATTTTTGTGTGCGCTCTCATTTGCATTAAAATTTTTATGTTTACTTATTTTTTTAAATATTTATTTAATGTATATGAATGCTCTATCTGCATTTACACCCACACGACAGAAGAGGGTATTAAAGGGTACAGATGGTTGTGAGCCACCATACACTTGCTGGGAATTGAACTCAGGACCTCTGGAAGAGCAGCCAGTGCCCTTAACCACTGAGCCACTCTCCAGCCCCGTTTACTTATTTTTATGTGTATGAGTGACCTCCTCCATGTATGTATGTGCACTGTGAGCACGGCACCTGGGGAAGGCAGAGAGAGGGTGGCATCACAGCCCCCGGGGGCTGGAGTTATGGATGGCTCTAAGGCACCATGTGTGTGCTGAGAACTGAACCCAAGTCCTCTGCAAGAGCAGTTAAGGCGGAGACATTTCTACAGCCCTGTATTTTCTGTCTCTTATGAATTATTTGCAGTGGTTGTTTTCACTTCAGTTGGTGATGTCCTATTTTCATTTTATGCTGTGTGTCCTGAGGATGTACCAACTTTGTTAAATAGATATTTATTTCATCCTTTAGGATTTTTGTGACTGAGTAAAAATAGAAAGTTGATGCTGGGCAAGGTAGCACACACCTTTGATCCCAGCATTCAGGAGGCAGAGGATTTCTGTGAGTTCAAGGCCAGGCTGGTCTACAAAATAAGTCTAGGACAGCCAAAGCTACACAGAGAAACCCTGTCTCGAACAACAACAACAAAAAAAGTTGATGTCAGAGCCCCTGGACCTAGATAGAATTGGAGACAGATGTATGAGCCACAGTGTAGATGCTGGGAACTGAAATAAATGCTCTTAAGCACCGAGCCACCTCTTCGGCCCTTACAGTCACATTTAAAATGCTTATAGAATTTTCTACACAATAGCTTTACTTTTGTCTCTTGGCCTTCAAAACAAAAACTTTCCTATTTAGCCTCTCCGAAAACTTTGCAGACATCTGAACTTATGTTGATTTGGGGATTAACCCTTATGGATTAGTGTTTGTTCTGTATCTGCTTGTCAATAGGATTATAAACCCAAGATGTCTTGCTAAAGAAGTTAAAAATTAGGCACTCCTACACCAGTTGCTGGTGGCGGACACCTCTAATCCCAGTCTACAGAGCGAGTTCAGTACAGCCACGGCTACACAGAGAAAGCCTGACTCGAAAAAACAAAATTTAGGCACTCCTTTTTCACTGCAGGAAGCTTCTTTGCCTAGAATGGAGCAGTAAATAATTATTTGCGGAATACAATTATAGTTCAAAAGGTAAAAAAAAAAAAACATGCAAATGGAAGAAAAGGACCAAAGACAGACTTGAAAATTTGCTGTTAGTGATGGGGAAGAAATATGTGACTGGACATATAAATGGACACAGCAATTTGAGATCTTTTTGTCCTTTACTATGTGAATTTAAAAAGACTATTTTAAAAAACAAAGTATGGGGCCAGCAAGGTGGCCAAGTGGGTAAAAACACTTGTCACCAAGTCTGATGACCTGAGTTTGATTCCCAGGAACCACATGGTGGAGGGAGAAACAGCTCTCAAGCTGTCTTCTCACTTCCACTCACTGTAAGGCTCATAAGCGAACACACACACACAAAATAAAAACCTTTTAAATGTAAAAGAAAATGTTTGTGTTTTTTTTTTTTTTCCCTTAATGAAAAAAGAAAGTGCTAAGGGCTCGAAACATGGTTTTGTCCATGTTACACCAGCCTGAACTTGATCCCTGGAACCCATGTAAAACTAAAAGGAGAGAACTGACTCCATGGCGTTGCCCTTTGACCTCCTCTTTCACTCAGGGTATGTGTTCGTCCAGACAAACGTGACAGACATACAATTCTCTCTCTCTCTCTATCTATCCTGGGCTCACTTTGTAGACCAGGTTGGCCTTGACCTCCCAGAGATCCGACTGCTTCTGTCTCCCCAAGTGCTTGGATTATAGGCATGTAGCACTGTGCCTAGTTTACAATGATAATTTTAAAAGTGTTAAGCCAAGTATAGTAACAAACTTGGAGAGTGGAATCAGGAGAATCAAGGATAGCTTTGACTACATAATGAGTCTAAGACAAGCCTTGGTTACATGAGATCCTGTTTCAAAAAAACCAAACAAATTTGGCTGGAGTGATGTCCCAGCAGTTAAGAACACGTGTTTGGTCCAGAGGACCAAAGTTTGGTTCATAGGACCCATGTCAGGCAGCTCATAACCACCTCTAACTCCAGCTCCAGGGGATCTAATACCCCTCTGGCCTAGATGCAACTCTCCAAAGACACACATGAACAAAGAAACATATACAGTAATAAATCTTCAAACAAACAAACAGCCGGGCATGATGGTACATGCCTTTTTTTTCAGGATGAGAGGATCCAAAGGACAAGGCCTGCCTTAATTTGACAAGAGTGAGCTCAAGACTATAAGTGTTATGGCTTTCTTGAACCACTAAATCGTCTCTGACACTTCCTGTTTGGTGGTGTAAACGCCCATGATTACTAGAACCTGTTTGGAGAGATCGTCTTACTTGATGCTGAGAATACTCTACCATCAGATGTTATTAAGAAGAATGAGACCACTTGCATGGTGAATGACAGAATAGCAGAATAACAATGATGCTGATAGCCGTGACCTGAGAAATTGCTTTCCAAAATAATAAAGCTCAAATTTATCTTCTGACTCAGTAGCAATAATGACAACCATGACCTACCTCTCTGCTTCCCAAAATAATAAAGCTCAAACTTATCTTCTGACTCAGAATCCTGTCTTTTTGCTTATAAGGAATTTTTATGTGGCTATATTGTAGAGTATGTAATGTTAATAATTCTATATAAAACTTTAAATAAATCAGTAGTTCTTGCAAAGTTTATGGAACCATTGGTTGGATCCAATGCCTCTTCTCCACAGGTACCCCCCGCACCCACACAGACACAAATAATTATGTAAGATAGGCACTCATACAAATAATTTTTAAAAATAAATCTTACTAAAATATTTAGCAAGAACAAAAAGGCACGAGGCTGAGTGTGGTGGCTCACTCCTTGTAAAGCACTTGGAAGGTAAAGCAGGCAGCTGCCATAAGTGCCAGGTCAGCCTAGACTGCGTGAGTGAGTTCTGGGGTAACCTTTGCGACATAGTGAGACCCCGTCTCAGAATAAGCAAAGAACAGGAAAATAAAGGGCATTTTGGGGTGTAGGGCTGAAGAGGAACATGAGGAACAGAAGATTGCTTAGGGCAGGTCAGGAAGATGTTTTGGGGGACAGGGTTTTGATGTATAATATAGCCTGGCCTCAAATTCAAGGTTCTTCTCCCTCTGCCTCCCAAGTGCTGGGATTCTAAGCCTGTACTCCTGGCCAGCCAATGTTGCAGGCCTGTAATCCCAGCACTAAAGAGGCGGAGCATTTGAGGTCATCTTCTATTACACAGCCAGTTTGAGGCTGGCCTGGGCTGCAGGAGACCCAGTGTCCACAGACATCTGCTTGTGGCCTCCACAGGCACATGTACACCACACATACAGATACACACACAAATAAAAATAAAACTAAAAAAAGAAATGTCAATATATATACACGTTACTGTGATTTATAAGATCTTCTAGACGTTGATACATTTTAAAATTACAATGATAAACGCAAACTGTTCAAAGATGTTCTATGATTACATCATCACCAACAATGAGGACAAAGGTAGGAGAGAAGCCAAATGAATCCTCCTTAAATATGTATCGCTTACAGACTTTTTCTTCTTTTTCTTTTTTAAATTTGAGATAGGGCCTTACTTAGGTAGTTCAGGATGGGCCAAGTGGAACTCCAAGTACATGCCATTATCCCTGGACCAGATACCACAGCAAACAGCACTGGTGTGCATGCCCAGGAATCCTGACAGGCGGGCCCCCAACCTTATACCAACTGGAAGCAAAATCTTAAAACTCCTGTGATCTTGAAGGGCTTGGCTAAGTTTTACACGCTTTCGTTTTTCTTTTGGCCACTAGATTTTTCAGAAAAAATTCACCTGTTTAGGGAAAATAAGAATATGTTAATATCATCCTAAAGTATACAACCACTTTTTCAGAATCCTGCCCCTCAGAAGGAAGGCTTGTATTTGCTGACATTTCCCTCCTCTCAGATCTCAAAGGCAGTTTTTAAAATCATCCATGGCAATTCCCCTACTGTTCTGGTTTAATTTTAATTTTTTGAGATTATTTTACCAACCCTCCCTTCCCTCTCCTCTCTCCTAACAGCATAGGCCTTTTCAGGGGCCAAAACCATTTGTTTCATCTCCCCACTTTTCAACTACTGTTTCTTCCAATGCCCAAGTGTTATGCAAAGCTGCCCGCTGAGCCTCGTGTGTTGCTGACCATGCCTTATGGCTGACGAAGTGCGGCAGTTTCCGGGAGCACTTCTGCCCACCATTAGCCCAGATCTGCTGTTTATAAAGCATCTCACTGTGGCTGAGCACTCGTCTGATGGACCCCTCACTAGCTCATTCCCCTCCAGGGAAGTCAGAGCTCTCTGGTAATGGGCTTTTGTTGCTATGTGAGTGGGGTCTGAGCTACAAGCCAGCTGCGCCGAGGGGCATGCTCCCTTCCAGCCCATTAGGCTCCAGTTAGTGTGGCTTCAGGAGCGGCGTGCAACAGCACAGCACTCCAGGACTGATTTATGAGCAGTTCAGGCAGCTCCTCTGCCATCTTACAAGCACGAACAGAAGGCAACTACCTCACACAACCACAATCACCCAGGAGCCTCTTGTCTGCACTGCTCAGCCCTTCATCTAAACCTGGTAGAGGCAGAACCAATATCACCAGATTGGAGTCGTCGTCTGAGTCCAATGGTCTACACTAAAAGTTCCATAATTCACTTCCTTACCAGTGTTAGAGATTTTCCTTGTAACTACTACTTTATGCCGCACACAGTTGTTCACGCTTTTATTCCCAGCATAGGCACAGGCAGGCAGGTTTCTGGGAGTTAAAGGCCAGCCTGATCTAGACAGTGACACCCTGTCTCAAAACAAACAAGTTAAAGACCACCTACCACAAAAAAGGCAATAACAAAATAAATATTACTGTGGGTACCCACTTGTAGAAGCTAATACTGGTTCTAGCTTCTGTATGTATTTCAACTTGCCAGTTATCCTGCTAAATTCTCAGTTCTAACTATATATATTTTTAAGCTTTCCCAGCCTGTTAGTCAGTGCTGAACCAAATCCCTGGGATTTTTGTTAACTGAGAATCTCATATATGAATACGATGTATTTCGCTCATATTCCCTCCATTCTGCCCTCTGACTCCTCCCACACACCCCCAACTTCATGTATTCTCTTATTGCTTTTCAAAAAATAACCTAGAATTCAAATTCTTGGCTTTTATAACTAGGATAAACTGTTCATAAGAATATCTTAAATTTCCGTTTTCTCTTTTTAAAGGAGAGCTTCGTGGAGCCAAGCCAGCCTTGAACTCACCCTGCAGGTGAGGGTGACCTGACGTCCTCCTCCCAAGTGCTGATTACAAGCACTGAGAGACCAAAAGATTAACAAATCGGCTATTATTAATTAAGGCCTGAACTAGGTGGGTGGAGAAGTCCAGGAATGCCCTGAGGGGGAGGACCTCCTCACTGCATTCATTCCCCACCCACTAGAGATAACAGTTGCTGGGAAACTGGCCCATCCCCCTAGGGAGGGACACCAGGTCATTAATAGTCTGGGGACCTTCCTATAGCCAATCAATTCAAAATGTAGCATTTTGACCAACAGATACTTGCCAGGTAGGAATTGCCCCTACCCTGGGCATGCTGGGATGGATCAGAAATCTTTAAATCACCCAACTAACCTGGGCATGGGGCGCTCGGCTCTCACCGCTCTGGTGGTGGGGTGTGTGGGCCCAAGCTGCAGCTTGTAATGTTTTATAATAAAAAGAACCTCATGTATTTACAGCGGAGTCTGTTTATTCCTGTTCATTCCTGGTCTTTTGGGGTTCATGAACTGGGCAGAACACCACCACCACACCCAGCTCACTTACATTCCCCTATAGGGGTACTGAGTATCACCAACACTTAAATGTTGATCCTTCTAAACAGAATCCTAACTTAAATATACCTACGATTTAGACCTCTGCGTATATATCAATCACGTAAATGAGCATTAACAGTGCTAACATACTGTACACTGTTAATGTATACTGATCCCAAAATACCTAGTTTACCAATCCCAATTGCTGGCCCAGCTAACAGGAGAAACATCTTCCTCCTCCTTCCTCCTTTCTTAGCCTCAGTGCTGGCACTGCAGGCATACAGCATCATATCTAACTCACCTGACTTTTTTTCTTACTTTCTTCTTGTGCTGCTGAGAACCAAACCTAGGGCTTCAAGCATGCTAGGCAAGAGCTCTACCGCTGAGCTACATTCCTAGCCCCAACTGGCTTATTCCCTGGGAAAAGGCCTTTATTTTCAACAATCAGTTCAGACACCCCAGAGTGAGGCGACAGAGGTGAAAAATTATATTAAGTTAGTAAAACCACTAAAAACTTATTTAGGGAGAAAAGTACATCTCAGTTTCCCTTTTATGGGAAGGAGAGTAACAAGAGACTAACTGTGCAAGAAGCAATACTACAGGCTTTCAGTGCTTACACGGATCTGGAATTGGCCTGTGGAGAAGGAGCTGGCACCGCTGTCAAATATGCTCTGTATGTGCCGTGATTTCTGGAAGATCTGCTACTGAAGGCCATGCTGGAAGAACTGTCTACACAAATGATCTGTGTTCTTGTCAAATGGCTGAGGTGTCAAGAACAGAGGGATATATATGTACGAGAAACACACGAAGCTAAGAAGAGCTTCTTTAATATGACCCTGTGAAGGGAGTCTATGAAGGACAGTCCAGGAAAAGAAAACCTCTTTTCGTTCCCCTGGGAAAAGACAACCACAGACATCGCATTTTGCTTTACAGCTTTGGGTGGGACACAACTGTGGGAAATTAAGCGCCTCAAAAGAACCAGCCCCTGAAGTCCAACTTACCTGCTTTATAGGAAGAACGCACCAAAGGGCCACTTGCAGTGTAATAAAATCCAAGCTCATTTCCTACTTTTTCCCAGTATTTGAACTTCTCAGGAGTAACATATTCTTCAACCTTGATGGAAATAATCACTTCAGACCGGACTCCAGAATTTTTAACAATTCTAATTCTATGTAAAGTATGTTGAGTGGCTCATCATTTGCCCAGCTCCCTCCTTCCCCCTACCACTTACATGTTGATTATTTGTTGGATTCTATCAGAGCATAACCACAGAGGATTTAGAGAGGACAGGGCATCACTTTATACTACATTAGCATTTCAAAAGGTAAAGAAAATAAGAGTATGCACATTATTTCTATTTTTCCTTCATTTATTAATAGTAAAGAAAGGTTATGCCTGTAAGATTGTGTGTGTGTGTGTGTGTGTGAATATTTTCATGGGTGTTTATGCACACCCATATAGGCCAGAGACAACATTGGTAGTCATTCCTCAAGCATTTTCCACCTTCTTTTGCTCCAGGGCCCTTTCGTGGCCTGGGACTCCAAAATAAGTCAGGCTGGTCAGCAAGCCCCAGAAATCTCCCTGTCTTTCTCCTTGTGCTACGATTAGAAGCACACTCTACCATGCTTGGCTTTAAAAAAATATGGGTTCTGGGACTTGAACTCAGCATGTAAGCACTTTAATGTCACTCCAAGTCCCCTTATAAGATGTCTGAGGATAAGACCAATTCATCTTGTATGTCATGTTTAACGCTGTAACCGGCATGCTTTATTTTTGCTTCTTTGTTTGGCTGGACTAGAGGTTGAACCTAGGGCCTGACATGCTAGGCAAGTGCTCTCCCACTGAGCAGCAGCCTGGGCATGCTCTTGGCACATGGTATCACTCAACACAATTTTCTCTAGTAAATGAACACTCTATCAGAGAAACAGAAAACTGCCTTTCTTTTTTATTTCAGCGTTGTGTTCCAGGCAACTGTAACCAAGTCACAGGGACACCAATGTCAGCAAGTACAGTGTCCTAAGTTTGACTTTTTCTTTCTGTATGCTTACTTGACTGAACAGTTTGGGTAGCAGTAAGGACCAGTGCCGCTGCTTTACGTGGCAATAAGACAGACACTTATACATCCACATGGGACATTATCCTAAAAAGCTGATGGTTTCTTATTTTTACCTGTGGAGAATGAAAACTTACTTCAAATTACTCAGAAAGTATTTGGCAACTCAAGACATCTGTACCTTAAGGTGGCGCTTTGTTGGCTGCATATACTGCCCTAGAGTTAAGCAGTCCACGTTGGCTGCACGGAGTGCTGAAAGGAAAACAGAGTCCACCAGCAGGTGTTCAGTTACAACTAGATGCAAGGACAGGCCCTGTGAGGAGTGATGCAAACTGTGGGCTCTAGCTGCCGTCACAGGCAATGAGCTAAGAGAAAACCCATTTGTTCAAACACATTATGAGCCATGGATTCTGATGAGAACTGCAAACACAGCAATGATTATCACAGTAGTGTGAAACTGGGAGACAGGAAAAAAAAAATAGAAGGCTGGACACGGTGTCGTACACCTTTGCTCCCAGGGCTCAGGAGACAGAGGTGGGCAGATCTGTGAGTTCAAGGCCAGCCTGGTGTACAGAGTTCTAGTACAGCCAGGGCTACACAGAGGAAAGAAAAGAAATGCAATTAATATTATCAAGTAAAAGCTAACATAGGAAGAGAGGCTTCAGAGCAGGAAGTCAGTTAGGCATAAAAGGTGAGGGGAGCTGACATGCTTGGCTGTGTGATCTTTCCTTTACTGTGTCTCTATTAATCCCCAAGCTTAATCTACATC